TGAGATTTGGATGATTTAGGGCATTTCCAATGCCTTTTCAAATCTAAAGCATCGAATATATGCCACACTAAACTCAGAATATAGATATAATGTAAACAAGAAATCAAATGTTAACCTTTGACATCTACCAGGACCAGCTGTCTGGATGTCCTGGCTGGACTATATACCCACAACTATCTGGGATCTCCTGTCAAGACACCAAAAATAGATGTTTGACGGTTGACATAGATATTGATATTGACATATAAACATATACATATATATATATATGCAATATCCATATATATATACAGATACATTCATATGATACGACATATGTTGCCTCCTGGTCTTAAACACGTCTTCAATTGGCGGCAAGCAAGATCCAGTAGAAAAATAGCTGAGCCGGCATCTAGTCAAACTCATTCAACAAAAAAGGGGGCCGGTCTGAATCATTGATACCATTGCTCTGCGGCATGGCCTGCCGTCTCACCGGTGGATCCGCCAGTCTCACCGGTGGACTCGCTCGAGAAAACCTTCCGTCCGAGACGCTTGTCATCAGGACCCAGGATCGGATCATCTTCTCGATCGATGCCCTGCGTCTGACATCGTTGGACCAAACGACGGTGATCTGGAAGAGTTTCTGGAAGAGTGACAGGGATGCATTGGGTCATTTGGATTCATTTGGATGGATCCTGATGGAAGTACATGCAAACTGCCACTATTCCAGTGCCAATCCTCTAAAGTCGAAAAGGCTTCATGGAATGTCCCTGCCCCCTTGGAATTCACAAATGTTGGAATCCAACAACTTATTTCCTGGGGTCTTTATGTAGATCAATGTCTTCCAGTCCATGCAGTGTCTGGCTTTGGTGAAAACCACGGACGCCGAGCCGCTTCTGTGGTCCAGTGATTCTGGCCTGAAATGGCACCGACGGAATTGAAGGTCTTGTAGGACGAAGGATGAAACAGGTACCCTTTCACATGATCTATCCTGGTCTGATGTCATCCACTGATCTCTTGCAAATTGGGCAGGCCTGCCCAAACCCTGGCAGCTTGGGCACCTGGCGTCTGGCGCCCCAGAAACGAGTAGCGCTCCGTAGCGGGGCCGCCTGGGCAAGTTGCGTCAAGACCTCATGCAGCTGCTCGGGCGAAGCAAAGAAGTCATTGGCTCTGGGATGCGCGTGCCTGGGCGGGGTGGCTGATGGGATGCGAGCATTGATGGGTGCAAAGCGGCCCAAAAAGCGGCCCAATGCCCAGCGATCTTGCTTCGAAGTCATCTTCGGACAAAACAGCTATATGCAAGCATCCGTCTTCAATGGGATTTATGTTGCTTTCTGTGTCCTTTTACCAGGGCTTCTGGCCGTCTCCGATACACATACTCCCTGATCTCCCGAGCCTGGCCCATTGCTTCACGGCCATCGTCACCTTCCAGCGTCATCCCTTCCGTTCCCCCCCAAGGCCAAGCGGGTCGCGTCTGACGCCCGGGAAGCCCGGACCGGACCATGGTCCTGCATGATGCCACGGAACTGATTCCAGCTATAGTGGATTGAGAGTAGATGGCACAATCCCCAAGTTCGGTGGTTTATATAAGACATCTTGGGGTTTGTGCCATCTACTCTCAATCCACTGTACCTAAAAGATCCATTCGTCGACGCCATTTCAAGTCCTGGGATCCTGCTGAACCATGCAGCATGACCGAGATTGTTGCCAAGTACAATCATGATGAACCACTTTCTCACATCTTCCAATATAGACTGCAGTATACAAATCTCTCCCCTTGGCACATGCCCAGTGATTCTCTCACCCATTGCTCCTGTCCTGTCCTTGGCCATTGGATGACTACTTCCCAATCCCGCCCCATCCCTTGGAAGGCGTGGAGTTCGGGTAGGCCTCGCCCCCATCCGACACCGGACCAATCCGCCACAGACAGAGTCCGTCTCACTGACCGCTGCTTGGTTCCTCCCAGCTTTGGAGGAAAGAACGCCCGGAACTTCCGGTGGAAAGCCCCATGCCCTGCCTCTTCCCCACTTCGTGGCTGGAAAGCACTTTCATTCCTCAAAGAGGTCCGCTTCTTATCCTGCAAAGGAAATTTCAGATTCCAGAAGCAGCGTCCACTCTGTCTGCCAGAGCGGTTTTTGTCTGGTGCCGGGATGGCTTTGCTGAGGTGCTTGGGATAAGCCGGAGACTTGTGGCCATGTGGCCAGGCCGAACCAAAACGCAATGCACTTGTAGCGATGCCCTTTATAGTACGTAGTATATAGCTTCGTGTTACTAGTAGCGATGCACCTGCTACTGTGTGAGCGTCGGTCTCGCAAAGGACTTCGGTCTCGCCACTTCCGATGGCCTTCGTCTTCTTTCGGTCCTTCTCCTCGCTAGGATGGGCGAGGAAGCCGCGCGGATCGATTCCCTGGGTTTACTGGAGGGGGGAGCTGGCTGGATGGGGGAGGTCTATGTAGGCAAACTAGCTCGGAGTGATGGAATGGCATTGGTGCATGGGAACTAAACACACACACACACACACACACGCACAGAAACAAAGCCATAGACCAAATAGATCCAAGCTATGTGTTGCTCTTTGCTGCTGCAGAAAACCCCTCTCCGTGCAAACTAATGTTTTTTGATGTTTTTTTGACTGACTCGGTGAGTTGAAAGCCATAAAACTCGGTTGAAACGTTTCTGGGAACATTGAAACGTTGGATGCCTACAGCCTCCTTCAAGACTCAAGAAACAATCACTCACTGAACATCTTACAATAGTCGCATCAATATCTAAGCAGTCCGACGCTCCAGTCCTCATATCGTTCATAGTCGCACCCCAAGTTGCGTGAGTTTGCACCAAATTTGCTGGCACCACTACTGCCACCAGTACCACCACTATATATCTCTACCACTACTCACTACGCGCTGTTGCGGCTGCTAACATCACACCACGGCGCCGTGCCCCTGATCAGCTCGTCCGCACCTTCTCCGCCTTGTTTTCCCCGAACATCGTCGCGAAGGGGTTCTCCGAACACCTGGAGCTGGGGCGTTTCGCACGAACGGCCTCGTGTTCCACAGGTTCCACCGGAGTGTCCCAAGACCGGCGACCAAGACCAAGTCGGTTTGGGATCCCTCTCTCCGGTCGTGCCATTCTCCACTGCGAGCGTCTGTGGTCGGACTTCAGCGTCGTTCCTCGCCGGTGCAAGTCGGGCCCGACCTTTCCCAGCGCTTGATGCGAACCACCGAGCTCGGCACATGCGACATTGAAACATGTGGAACCACCGGAGAGCTTGAAGCACTGCCACCTGCGCGGGAAGCAAGCGGAATGAGATGTTCCTGGGTCACCCTAGGTGGTTCCAGGGACGACAATCTCAAGTGCCGCCCTTCTTCACGTGGAATATGCATCAGAAGGAATTTGGACGTGGGATGGCTTTGGACTGCCCATCCAGATTCGGGACAGATCATCCAGATTCGCGAGTGGTCCCAGATTCGCGTGGCTTGCGCGCTCCACCCCTCTGACCTGAATCCTATACAACATCGTACGACATCATATACATATTGCTATGATTTGCTATATGTGCTTTGACATGGGAAGAGTTATTGAATTGAAGGGTATTTAAGGATCATCTATGTGGGGTAATTGTATCTCCGCATCATTTTCATAATTATATACCGGCCCTGGATGCTGTCCTGAAGCCACCCGTGAGCCACCCTGACTGGACTAAGAGTCCACCCGAATTGCCTGATCTGGCGCGCTGCTCTCCGATCTGCTTGCCACGAAACTCTTGAATCGATGCTGCGGGTGTCGTGAGCCACGGATGCGCTTAACCAAAAAACCATTTAAAAAACAAACAAAGACCTGGAAGGAGGAATCCGGTTCCATCTCCTATCCTGCTGGTCTTACCTTTCCTAGTACCTTTCCTATAGCAACCTGATATCGATCTGGGCGTAGATTGAAAGAGGGGGCACCCCCAGTTGGACCCCTATGAATGCAGTCTCAAGTTGTAGGTGAACCAAAAAATGTGGACCTAATTATGTGGACCTCATGACTCATATATCATAATACAGTTCTACTCTCGGGCTGTAGTTCTGGGACGTCCCAAGTAAGTAATAAGACACCAAAAGGTAAAGATCATATCACTTTGCATGAGTAACTTCTGAAAGGAGATCCAACATCTATTGAGACCACTTGCTTTTTTGCTACTGCCTTAATTACTATGAACACAAACACGCACCATGTGACTACCGTTGACGATCAAAGCTCTCACAACACAGGGTTGACCAATGCCACAGGCAGTGCAAAGAACCAACTCCCCAAAGGACCGTACCCAGAGCATCCATGAGATCATCCATGGGACCGAAATAGTTACTTGCATTAAAGGGTCCTAAATGAGGTAAATGCTACTCCATCCATGGATAGTCTGGGAATTATCTACCATCTACAATGCTTCAAGCATCCACCGCTCCAAACAGCTTGGTGTCCCAACTGGCAACTTCGTTCCAGCTGGAGAACGTCTCCGTCGGATTCAACATAAGGTCATGCCCCCCCGACACCAAATTAGAAACACACACACAAAAAGAAAAACAAAACGAGAAGAAACCACCCAAGAACATGAGGGGCCGGGCCGCCCACTGCCCACCCACCCTCCCACCTCAAAATAATTCAGCTTGGCAGGCCCTATGAAGGTGTCATGTGAAAGAAATGCCAGTTGAGCAAGTTCGAAGCAATTTCCACCAGTGCGTCGCGGGTGCTTGCTGTCGACCCCCCCATCCCATGCGAAGCCATCGATGGGCTGATGTGTTCAGGTGAAAGAATGTCTACCAGGACCTTCCTTCTGAGGTGTCTATAAATAGCCTCTTAGAGGTGATTGGCGATGTCCAAGGAGCACCGAACTTGGAAGGTCCTGGTCAATCCCTAATTCTTGCTACAGTACCCCCAATTCACGCCCCTTCCAGACACCTGTTTGGAAGGTCCTGGTCAATCCTTTCACCTAGATCTTTTTGGTGCACTGAGCTAGCTCCGCCGGCTCTGAGCTCTCCGGCCGCTCCGCCTGCGCGGCCGGACCGGCGCCTGGCTCCACGGAGGTCGGTCTCCGGGCCGGACATCAACAGCCAACAGCCCCTAGGGCTCCAACTATACCTCCTGAGAAGGTGGGACTGGGGTGGATTTGGGGGGGGTCTAGCCACCTTCGGATATGCGCCTGGAGCCGTATAGAGATTTACCCCATCAAACAAAACGACCCATGCATGATCCATGTAACTCTTCTAGTCCCATTGCGACTGTTTGAGGAGCAAACCCCCAAAAAAACATCGACAAACTGGGCCGTGCCGCGAGCTGAGTCCGATTTGGTCGCCGACGTGCGATGTTGACCGACGGGAGGCCCAAAGTGACCGAGTGAGGATTGAGGTCATTGGTCGGTAAACAGCTGAAGTTCACTGGTCATGGGTCATTGGTTGATTGAGGTCGTTGGTCGGTCATTGCCGTCATTGCTGTCAGAAGTGACCGATTGAGGTCACTTCTGAAGCCCACGCCCGGAAGCTTCCGTTCGACCATTGGACAAATTTTGACGGACCTGGTCTCGTACAGTAGTGTCAAATCCTGGTGTGCAGTAATGCAAACAGCTCGGTGGTGTGGTAAAGATCACCGCACGTTCTGGGTTTGGGTTTGGGGGTGAATCAAAGATGATGACATTGAAGGGGGGCCTCCTTAGAGAGGACACTCTGAAACTAACTAGCAATTATTTCTGGACATTTCTGGTATTTGTCCGACTCGTCGTCCGACGGTTAAGACAACATGAAGAACATTAGCGTGCGAAAAAGCATGAACAAGCTCCGTTCGTAGCGTCCGATCGCTCCCAGTCGTCTACGGCCAGGAGCGGGGCTCGTAGCGATTGATGCCGTGTCCTGGCAGTCCTGACGCCAGTCCAAGGCCCAGCGGTTGATTTAGTCCCGAGTGGGGCTGAACATGGTAGCATGGTCATTTTCGAAAATGGTGGCATGGCCCGTGCCACTGGAAAATCGGTGAGTGGATGTGACAGAGGCACCCGAGAGAAAAGAACACTGCAAAAAACGCCATCCATCTCCATACGAGGTAGTTTGTTCTATAGGGTTGTCTTTTTTGTTAAATCCCGTGTTTCACCCACGACACCCGTTCGCCGTTCGCCTTGAGCTCCACCTTCTTTCCTCGGCCCTTCATGCGAGACATGTGCCTGGCCAGCAGAACAAATGGGGAGACATGCCCCACACTCGCACGATCCCAAACGGTCCATGTATGGAATAGGTAATTTGTTCCTGCAACAACCGTTCCATAAAATGGATGGTTTGGGTATAAATGTCCCTAACACTCCATGTAGGGCTAGATTCACCAAATGTAGGCCAATACATTTGTACGCACATGGAGTGTCTGGGTGTGCAACAGTTGCAACATGTGTCAAGGAAGTCATCTTGGGGTGGTTGATGATATTTCAAGATGTTTTCATGATGATGTCCATGTTTGCTGGGTAGGGAGGAGCCTGAAAGCAGCTCTGGAAAGCGCTGCTTTTCCGTGACAAAGTCGTGTTTCCTTTCTTTTTGCGGACCAAGATCTCAGTACAAAACGTCGACTAGAACTCCAAAAAAAAGCAAGTGTGTTGGTACGACTGACCAGTTGAGGATAAAACACAAAAGCATACCAAAGCCATATCCATATCAAGGTATATCAATGTTATCAACACGCTCGAGTAACTTGATCATCAAACAACTGTCAATGCAAGGTTCACCAAGTATAGCTGTTGAGATCCGCCCAACAATCTGTTCTTATCCAGATCTTAGATTCTTAGATCCAGAATCCCAAAATACATCCTTTAACATCCCAACGGGCCCGACACCTCATCAGGACCAAGGACCAGCGCCAGGGGTGACTAGAGTTGAGGGGGATTCAAAGGTCTGTCGCACAGATTGCGCACGGAAACAGTGAGCTCTAACCAACGGGAGCTCAAGGTTGGCCAATGTATCCGGCATCTCAAACTACACGGCTCAAATCTTGCAAGCCAGTTAATTGAAGGTGCCCTCGCAGAAGGGCAGCCCATCAACCAATCCAATCAGAACACCCCTTGATTTGTCTCAACTCCCTGTCCAACATCCTTGACTTGTGCCCCATGTCCGACGAACGCGGCGTTTCCAAACGCGGCCTGGACGGGGACATCTGCGATGGGCCTCGATCGGCGCAGGTCGATCAGAAGCTGAGTCGGCCCGACTCGTCCCCCTGGTTGGGTTGGGCGACTCGTCACCAGTGCTGGCTTTCAACCAGTGCGGCCAGTGCGGGTGCCAAAACATGCATAAAGGAAGATGGCGGAGAAAAGAAGGAGCCAGCCATCGCAAGCTCCGGTTCATCTCTCCACCCTGGGCAATCCCAACCAAAATAAGTTGTTCCCATCGTGTGCCCCTGTTCTTCTTTCCTTTGCGAGTGTACTAATAGCACTTCACACCACTACAACCAGCGGCCTGCCAGAGTCACAGCTAGCTCTCTCCCCCTTGGGGAAGCACCACGTGCTGTTTGCACAGGCAACCAGCCCATGAAGGTATTTGCCTGGCATCGGGATCTCTTGCACCAACATCCAACTGTGAAGCTCTTCGGAGAACGTGGTAGAAGCACTTTGGTCGCGTTTCCCGCACGTTCATCACGTGAAAAGTTCAAGTATGTTCGGGTCACCCACCCCAGAGTCCAAAAGGACCAATTTATATAGGTCAAAGCTTCTTGGCAACGTGAAGGTTCGCCTAAGCGACGTGAAAATGATCCACAAATTCGGAAAACCGACCTGGCCGGGCCAAAAAGAGCTCCATTCACTGTGCCCAGCACCCAACACGCTGGTCCCAGTTGATCCTGGTGTTTCCTGGTGACATGGGTGTCCAAAATCGAAACTGGAAGAGGCAAAGGTTGATATCTGATGCTCATCCCCCAGGCCCAGTGTCAACGTTTGCCATCCCTCACATTCCAGCACCCAATCAGCTAAAAGCGCGAAAAAGGAATTCCCACGGTACATGCTTCAAAACATATATCCCCCACACTTGTTTTTGCACTTCGTAAGCCGTTGGTCAGCCAGTAGCATCCCCCACAAAAAGAACATACGTTTAAACGATTCAATTCGCAGAATTGGACCGAACTGCCCGCCCGCCTCGGGGCGTGAGCACCGGTAGGCGGCCAAGGCGGCCACCTGGCGTTCTCCGAGATTCAGGCCCCAAGCTAAAGCTATACCCAAACACTCCATGTATGCCATATATGCCTACATTGAATCCTAAAACCACCCCCAATGTAAGCATATATTGGCATACATGTCTGGGATATGATATAATTGAGCTCGATTTTGCTAAGGCCACCTTTCGTGAATTCTAAGGGGATGGGATCCTCAATTGCTTCACCACTGTCGATTCTTTGTCTGTTCTTCTTTCACCGAATCATCCCCACACCTGGCCCCTTTGGAACGAAAAAAGCTCTTGAACAGGTCCACCATGTTTATGAGAAGTTTGTGGAGTGAAACCTTTGCCATCCGCATCTCATCGTCTCACCGTGTCAAACCACGCGGTCTTTGCCTACATAGGGCTCCAAACGGCCCATCTCCCACCCGGTGACCGGTGGTCTTCGACCCAGCCCAAGACCACCCACCCACCCCCTGGCCCCACCGAGTTGCAGGTCGGGTCCGACACATCGATGCGAACGAGGCGCTGTGAGGCTGCAGCAGAGGGTGGCGGACACCGCCACCAGGATTTGCCAACCACCGTGGATCACCTCGTCTCATCGCCCGAACGCCCCGCGTGCACCGAGGCGAGGGCTGGAGCGATGTCATCGGCATGTCGCATCGGCATGTCCCGTGCACCAGTGGGTGGCTGACGCAAGTGGTGCTCACATACAGGAATAGTGTGTATGCCTACATTGACCCACCAAAAGGATCCAACGCAAGCAAATACGGAATACATATATGTGTGTCTGGGATGGAGGGTCTTCAACCAAGCGCTCAGGCGGTATTTCAACACAAGGAGGTCGACAAAAAAAGGACGGCAAATTGTCAAAAGCATGGGTTGTGATTAGTATGATAGATATAGGATGATCATTTGGGGCACAAAGCGTCCAACATGTGTTCAACATTCCGAAGACACCTGGTATGAAGTCAAATATGACACAAACATATCAAAGAATTCATCGACTCGCATCGACAAACACCATGGTGATCAGACTTGCCCATTCAGGTCTTTGCTGTATAGAGAGGGAGAGAGAGAGAGACTTGGCAGAGGCTAGGCCCTCTCAAAGAGGATACACTCCCTGAATCACCCTGCTTTTTCATGGTTACGTGGTTCCTGCCATCCAGGGCCGTTTTGGTCTTCATAAGTCTTCATCGTTCATCCTTGCAGGGCCGTTCATCCTTTCAGGGCCGTTCATCCTTGCAGGGCGTGTAATCCATCCACTGAACCATCCTTCCAGGGAGTGTCATTACCTCAAATACATCCACATACCGAGACCACCCCCCTCCATCGTACGTTCGTGGAGAGACCGCTGTACGTTTGTGGATGGCCGCAGCGTCAGATCGCACATGAAAAATGCGTTTCCTATCCCAATGGATCCAAATAAACCACGATAAGGATCGCTAACCAGTGCTTCCAAGGACTTCAATTAGAGACCCATATATTCAAAACTTATAGGCTCTCCACAATTATAGGGTTATCCTGTAGGAGTGTTTGAAGTCCTGTTATATCAGGAACGGTTGTTATAATTTCGGTCTCTGGGATCCACTTGCTTCACTTGCCCTCCGGTCGCGACTCGTGACGTGACTCTCGGTCGGCGAATGCGCCCAGCCGCCCATGCGAAGAGCTCGTCCAACCTGGAAGGCTTGGAGGCACCTGACAAAGGAGGCTCGGCCAATTCCATGGCCTTTTTCCCAACCCAAAAACCCGTGGCAAATCCAAGAGAAGTTTTTCAATTTTTTTCACGGCCCTGCCCTTTCGCCCATCCCATATGTACCACCACTACAGGGTCCTATATATAAGGTCTCTCAACCAGCATGTCAAAATGCTTCTTTTCGATGGTGTTGATGAGTCGCGACCCTTGGTGCTTCATGAGTTCGGGGAAAACCCCATGGCTGTCCAAACCATGATCAAGCCATGGCCATTCTACCGAATGTACATTTCACATAACTTGATCATGCACCCTGTGCACATCATCATGGCGCTGTTTTCTTACAAGGACCCCTTAAGGGGTGCCAATTGGTGGCTATCGGGGTGTCCCTTCACCACCCATTGGGCTTCACACACCATAAAATTACCCTCGGAGTGGCTATAGAATTCGAATGATTCTATCGGCGCAAATAAAACTATATATAGTTATATCTCTCTCTGGCGAGAATGACTCATCCGAGTATATATACTTATAATGTAATCATGTCTAAACAGAATGACATCCCAACAAATATATCAATTTCCAATGCCCAAATAAAATCACATATATATATATATACACCGGCCGTAAGCTCCCGTCCCAATTAGCTCCCGTGCACCGGCCGGTCCACCGGACCTTCTCCTCCGTCTTCGAAACCTCGAAGCTCAGCGCCCAACTCCTCAAAGCTCAACTGGTCCCGCAGACCTCAAACGTCGGGTGGGAAGCGCCACCAGGCTCCTATTGAGTAAAATGTTTGAGGAACCTGGTGGAAGTCTGACTGTTTTTTGTTTACGAATTTGCTGGTGGTCATGTTGATTAGGAACCTGGTCAGTGACTGGTGGGATAAGAATGGATCAGGATATGATACTAAAATACTGGTGGTATACTGTTCTCAATACCCGTCATGATTCTGGTCAATAACTGGGATTTGTTTGGGGATTTACGTGGTCTATGTTTATACATAGACTGAAATTGGGATTCGGGTCAATGACTGGGACATGTTCAAACGATTGATTGTTGACATATTAACTGAAGCCTGTGAAAGGATATGTTCATCGTTGATTCATCATCATTCCTGTTTTGCTGGCCAAAGGCTTCTTGAATTTGATCATGTCCACCAAGCATCGGCTTGATGGAAAACAGTGAGCCGGTCGCACGCACTCTTGCAAACTGAAATCACTCCGGAAACAAGCACCGATTCATAAGGAAATGTATGTTCAAAAAAATTGTAAAAACATCGTCGAATCTATTTCATTCTAGCCCTGCTAGTCACTTCCAAAAGCTAAGAAGAAACTCCTCCCTAACCTGCTTTCGGCACAGCGGAACCACTTCTTCCAGAAAAGAAAATGCATGGGAACGTCGTCCTTCAGGGGGACCTTTTCCCACATCTTCCTGCATTCAAAAGTCACTGCAAATCCCTTCTTAAACTCCAAGCAAAAACAGTGCTTCACAGTGCCTTTTCTCTCCTCAGCGTTTTCTCCAATTTTCACGCCCCGGTGGGTTCCAGCCGCGTTTCGGCCTCCCCGGTCGTGCCCATCTCGACCTCACAACCCTCGGTGCCCTCTTTGAGCGCCAGCAGTGCACGGTGACGGAGGAAGTGGTCCAGGCTATGGCTGAGCTCAATGATCCTAAAGCGAGCGGACCAGGCTATGACCCACCCGTTGGTGGCGTGAGGGAAGAAAGGTTCCAAGAGAGTTGAGATGCTCCAAGCCTTGAGCTCCCAGCTTTGGTGTTGGGGCGTGGACACTACCCTCTTGAGGCAGTTGGATCTTTATGGAACCCTCAAGGCCTCAAATATGGGTCAATCCTGAGCGATACAAATAGTTCATCCATACTCAACAGCATTCGGAGATAATTGGGATGTCTTGCGGAATCTTCCGGGATTTTTTGGAGTCTTGAAGTGATAGAGATAGATAGATAGATAGATAAATAGATAGATAGATTAGATAGATTAGATCAATAGATAGATAGGTTAATTAAATAGATAGATAGATAGATAGGATAGATAGATTAGATAGATTAGATTAGATTAGATTAGGTTACATTAGATTAGATCAGATTAGATTATATTACCTTAGATTAGATTAGATTAGATAAGATAAGACAAGACAAGATAAGACAAGATAGATAGATTCGATAGATAGATAGAAAGATAGATATATAGATAGATAGATGGACATATAGAATAGACGAATAGAATAGAATAGATAGATAGATAGATAGATTGATAGATTGGTTAGATAGATAGATAGATAGATAGGTAGGTAGATATATAGATAAATAGATAGATAGATAGATAGGTAGATAGGTAGATAGATAGATAGATTAGATAGATTACATCTGGCTGAACTAGTATATTTCATAGGTCGTTGGGTCGTAATTCGCTATTTCAAAATGGAAATAAGGATTAGGTCGTTGAAATACCAAAATATTGGGTGAGGTCGGGGTTGGTGCGCGCGATGTGGCGCGGTGGGGCTGAACAGCGGCTTCCATGTTAATCTACGTTTTTTTTGCTACCACTTGTGCCCAAACCGCTGGGAAACCAGAAACGACCTATCTGACTCAGATAGGCTTGTTTTGCTACCGCTTGTGCCCAAACCGCTGGGAAACCAGAAACGGCCTATCTG